CTTCTTCTTCTTCTTCTTCTTCTTCTTCTTCTTCTTCTTCTTCTTCTCCTCCTCCTCCTCCTCCTCCTCCTCCTCCTCCTCCTCCTCCTCCTATTTCTTCTCCTTCTTCTCCTTCTATTTCTTCTTCTCCTTCTATTTCTTCTTCTCCTTCTCCTTCTTCTCCTATTTCTTCCCCTCCTTCTCCTTCTTCTCCTTCTCCTTCTCCTCCTTCTCCTTCTATTTCTTCTCCTTCTTCTTCTATTTCTTCTCCTCCTCCTATATCTTCTCCTTCTCCTCCTTCTCCTATTTCTTCTCATTCTCCTTTTTCTCCTTCTATTTCTCCTTCTCCTTCTAATTCCTCTTCCCCTCCTTCTCCTTGTATTTCTTCTCCTTGTATTTCTTCTCCTTCTTCTCCTTCTATTTCTTCTCCTTCTTCTCCTTCTATTTCTTCTTCTCCTTCTTCTCCTATTTCTTCCCCTCTGTTGAGGTAATTCCCCGTTAGGAGAATGAGCGCGTACAGGGAGACGTATTTGAGAGGAGTGTTTGAATAATACACATACAGCACACAGATACACTGTACAGTAAATGTAGGTTTTTACTTCCAGAAACGTTAAGCAAAGTCCAAAGTAGGCAGTCCAAAGTCATTCACAGGTAAAATCAGCCAGTTTTCATCCAGGGATAATCCAAATATCAAATTCCAGTGTCAAAAACAGTTCAGTATCAGACTTACATTAAATTCATGAATATCAGTCAATTAGGAAAAATGGAGCAACGGCAATACTTTCCAACAGAAGGAAACAGAGACGGAGACACACTCTCTTCTGAGACTCAGACTAAACAACCCAGGTTTCTGGCTCCATCTTATGGCCGTTTGCGAAACCACACCCAACTACAGTTTTGCATTTTCTTAAAGATACAGTTTTAAAATGTTTATCCTGGTTTATATATTTCTAACCCAAATAGCTGTTAGGTGACTCATATTCCTAGCACCCTCCTTCTCCTTCTTCTCTTTCTCCTTCTCCTTCTTCTCCTTCTATTTCTTCTCCTTCTTCTATTTCTTCTCCTTCTCCTTCTATATAGTGGGGTGGGGAGGGAATGGGATTTTGTAGTAACCTTCCCCCAGGAATGGGGATTTTATAGTATCCTTCCCCTGCCATGCCCACCAAATGTCGCCCACAGAACCGGTAGTAAAAAAAATTGAATCCCATCACTGATACACCCAAAGCTCAGGTATTCTTAAATAGATCCATATTGTTGAAAAGTCTGCTCAGCAGTCATTTGGGCTCTATTGGCTAGCATTTGATTACTGTTAATAATGTAAAATAAATTAATTCCTAGTGGATTTTGACTTGAGGAACCTGGAGCATTTTTCTTCTTTGCCAAGCAAACATTGTCTCGAATTCTAGGTGTTTGATAGAGTCCGGGAAGAGTGGCCCAATTTCCATGAGAAGATTAAGCCCATCAGTGCTGAGTTCACCAAGCCAAACCTGGCCATCTCTTCTGAAGACATGGAGGAGTTGCTTTCTGAGGTCAACGTGATCTTCCATTGTGCTGCAACAGTTCGATTTGATGAGCCTCTGAAGTAAGTTCTTCTCCTGTCCTTCTTCGTTTTATTGGAGACCACCACTACAGTACAACTCAAGATGCCCCTGAAGACTTTCTTAGAGGGGAGTATTAGTTTCAAAGAAATAGAGCAACGTGTTATGTGAAAACCATTTCTGTTTGATATCCTTAGAGAACACAAAAAGAAGTAACATTGCTGATATTTTATTCTTGTAGTTCTTCTAAGCTAGTGAGCTAATGGACACAATCCTGGAATTTCAAGGGATTGTAATGCCAGTTTTGCTCCTAGCCAGCCACCAAAAAAATAGAAATAGAAAAAGTGCTTTTTGGGAACAATGGGAAAGCTCTGACACTCTCACTGTCAAAAGACATTAGGGTCCAGGGACAAGATAGTATTTGTCTCTACTATAGGCCGACACAGTTTGATGGGAGTATTGCAGTGGCCTAGAGCTTGAGCTCTCGCCTCACAATCAGGAAGCTGTGAGTTTGATCCTGGGTAGAGGCAGATATTTCTCTCTCTGGGCACAATGAGAATATATCTGCTGAACAAAACTCCACATTGGTGACAGGAAGGGCATCCAGCCAGTAAACACTCTGCTAGCTCCATTCAGTTGCCTAGACACTCCACCCCGCAAGGGATTATGAGGTCATTAAAAGGAGATGAAAAGGCTGAGGCAGTTCAATGCTGTTGCTGCTGTTGTGTTGTGTTGTGTTGAATTCACTGTATGGACAGCTGGACAGGCAGGCAGGCAACTGGTGGCAGATAATGGCTGGTCACTTTTACTTTTCACACACACCTCACCACCGCCACTAGCCATTTGGCAGCAATGGTGTTCCGGATGTTTGGTGGTGGCGGCAGTGGGCAGGGTTGGCTGCAGAGAGGTGATGAGGCTGGATGCATACCATTTTCATGCCACCTGCCACCTCTGGTGTTGCCCTGGGCCATTTGTTGGTGGCAACAGTGGGTGGGACTGGTGGCAAGGAGGCACCAGCAGCCAGGTGCATCCCATTGTCCCAAAGCCTGCCACCGCCACCACCGCTGTAGCTATGCTGAACTCTGGGAGCTCAGTGTGGTGGCAATTATGGGGGTGTGAAAATGGGAAGCTCCACCACCACCAACGGCCAGTCTGCACTCTACCCACCCACGCACTCATCTGCCCACCTGCCCTCCTCACTCTTCTTCCAGCTGCCCATGGTGAGTTGTCCCTGTGGAGCATTGGCTGTGTTGAATTGTTCTGTGGCAACTTGCCAGCATGGAGTTGGCAGAGGCGACTGGGCAGTGGTGAGTTGGCCATGCTGAGCTGACTGCACTGGGTGGTCCTAGACCCCTCCTCCAGTCATGAGAGAAACTACGGAAGTCAGTGCAGTGAGGACAGGATTCCAAATCCAGCAGTATGTCAACTTTCGAAATGACGTCAGCCAAAGCCATGTGTCAGGTTTCCAAGTAATGAAATCCATTTTAAAAGAAAAATAACAAAGTCCATCTTCAAAAAGATTTCTTTTATTTAGGAAAGCATCAAATTGGCAAAGTCCATGGTAATTCCAGATCTGACCCAACCTGGAATTACCACACAATATTAGAAGTTGGAAACAACCCTCTAAAGTCACATTCTCCAATAGAAGTAATTCTTTTTTAAAAATAATTTTTATTGATTTTACAATTAAAACAGACCAACAACACATACATAAATGTAAGAGAGAAAAAGAAAAGAAGAAGAAAAGAAGAACATAGAAAGAAAAGGATAGAAAACAATTAAAAACATTTTCATCTTCAACAGTTTGTGAGACCTCCTTTTTATCCTTATTTTATGCCATATACACACTTAATCCTTACATATATCTGTATATCACTACTATGATTCTATCCTATCCTATCCTCTTTTGCCTTTTAATGTGAAATCTATCTTTGGTCTATCCATTTGTACCAGCAGTTCCAGCTGTTGTAGTATATTGAAGTGTCTTTATCTTTTAATGCCAAGGTTAATTTGTCCATTTCTGCACAACTTGAAATTTTTTGAATAATCATCTCCTCTGATGGAACATGAGGCTGTTTCCAACATTGTGCAAAGCCAATCTGGCCGCTGTCAAAATATGTATTATTATATATTTCACTTTTTTTGGTATTTGTTTATCAAAGATCCCTAATAGAAAGGACTCTGGTTTGAATTCGATCTGTTCTCTTGTCATTTCCTCCAGCCAATTTCTAATTTTCTGCCAATATTTTTGAGCTTCTGTACAAGACCACCACATATGGAAGAAAGTTCCCTCTTTTTTTTGCATTTCCAGCAATTCGGACTCATATTGGGGTGCATCTTCGCTAATCTCGAAGGAGGAAGGTGCCATCTATAAAATATTTTATAGGCATTTTCTTTGTATGCTACCGATTTTGTAATTTTATTATTTCTTCCCCAGACTTTTTCCCATTCTGTTATGGTGATACTACGTCCTATATTCCTACTCCAGGCTATCATGTTCCCTTTTACAATTTCTTCTTCTAATTCTACTTCTAATAAATAATTATAAAATATTTTTTTTTTTTGCCTGATCCTAATAAAATGTTATCTAATTGCTGGAGTTTATTGTTAATTCCAAATTCTTTCTTGTCCTGATTATATCTACTTTGAATTTGAAGATATGCCCGCTGATCAATTTTTAATCCCCGATCTTGAAGATCTTGCCACGATTTCAGATTTCCTTGCGTATCCAATAGGTCCTTATATTTAATCATTTTAGTAATATCCAGATTATTTGGGTGAATCATCGCCTCCATTGTTGAGATCCAAATTGGTATTTTTAAATAGTGTTTTTTCCGTATTTTCTTCCAGTTAGTCAATAATGAATCTCTGATTAGGTGTCTGTGAAAATATTTCTGGCTAGTTTTCCCAACATCCCATAAAAAAGCATGCCACCCCCTCTGTAAGTTATGGCCTTCTAAGAATAATATTCTTTTATTGGTTAAATTCACCCATTCCTTCAACCATACTAAAGAGGCTGCACTATAATACAACTCCCAATTTGGAAGTGCCAGCTCTCCCCTGCTCTTCATATCCTGCATTGCCTTTAAGTTTATTCTAGGTTTTTTCCCTTGCCAGATGAATGTTATAGTTATTTTATTAAGTTCTTCAAAAAAAAAAGTGTACTTTGATTGGGATCGTCTGAAATATATAGAGGAATTTTGGAAGAATATTCATTTTAATAGCAGCGATCCTGCCTAATAATGAAAGTTGCAGCTTGCCCCATGTTTCTAAGTCCTTCTTTACCTGTTGCATCAATTTATCATAATTATTTTCCTTAAGTGTCTTACAATGTGCTGTCAACCATATTCCTAAGTATTTAACTTTCTTTATCACTTATATTCCCATAACTTCTTCTAGTTCTAATTTCTGTTTTTCTGTTAAATTTTTGGTCATTAATTTTGTTTTCTTCCTATTAATTGTTAGTCCTGCTACTGCTCCAAATTGTTCTAATTCATTCATCAATTTTTGTCCTCTTTCTATTGGTTCTTCAATGAAAAAAATCATATCATCCGCAAATGCTTGCAACTTATATTCTTCTTTCTTAACCTTTAATCCTTTTATGTCTGGGTTCTGTCTAATTCACGTTAATAATGTTTCTAGTGATAATATGAAGAGCAGGGGTGAGAGTGGGCAGCCCTATCTGACTTTTTCTATTTTTATTGGGCGGGTATATTCCCCGTTTATTATAATATTCGCCTATTTATTATAATATTCCCGCCTTCGGGAAAGGGAGTAATGGCCAGCTGAGGAGGAGAGATGCGTCTCTCCTCGACCCTGCTGGCAGTCTCCCCCCTCTTCACCACCTCTACGGGGTGGCTTAGCCCCGAAACCAGCCGGCTCGGGGCGCTCCAGCGGCGAGCCCAGACAGAAACCATGCACGATCGCAGATTTCTGTCTGTCGCCGAAGCCCTTCAAACCAGAAGTCCCGAGTTCAGGACTTTCAAGCCTTCTTATGTCATTGAAGTGCAGAAATCCCATAGAGCTAGCTTCATTTCACTAAGTGCCAATGCTTTGTACTCAATAAAAGGTCTTTTGAGTATGTCTGGTGGGTCAGAGTTCTGATTCAATTGGGTGCATTGCTCGGAACCCTGACATGGCACAAGTTATCTCTGTGGAATTATACTCCTCTTGAATTACTGAAGAGGTTTGCAGGAGAGCCAAGACGATTGGTTTGGACCTGGTCTCACACCAGCTGGACCTCAATCCTACCTTTTTTTGCTTTCCTGATCAGGGATGCCCTTCTCCTGAATGTCATGGGCACCCAGCAGCTCCTGAGGCTGGCCCACCAGATGAAGAATCTTGAAGCCCTCATCCACGTTTCAACGGCCTACTCAAACTGTAATCGGAGGCACATAGAGGAGGTCTTCTATCCTGTTCCTGTAGAACCAAAGAAGCTCTTGGACCTGGTGGGGTAAGTAATGGAAGCAAGCCTTCCTCTCTTGTGATATATTTGCAAGTAGTAGTAGTAATATAACAGTAGTTTTGCATGCTCATTTTCGACCACTTTTTCAGGTGGGATCATAAGCCTGAAAAAGTGATTGAAAATGAGCATGCAAAACTACTGTGGGACTTCCGAATACAGACTAACAAAGTTTTGGAACACAGTACCCTGGATATCAGGATTGTGGAGAAGAAAAAAGTGTGGATTGTTGACATTGCCATACCTGGTGACAGCAGAATCGATGAGAAACAACTTGAAAAAGTCACCAGATATCAGGACTTGAGAATCAAACTTCAGAGACTCTGGCATAAACCAGGGCAGGTGGTTCCAGTGGTACTCAGCACACTGGGTGCTGTGCCTAAAGACCTAGGCAAGCACTTATAAACAATTGGTGCACCAATGTGCCTACTGTCCCTGTCCTATTGTTTCCCTTTTTTTTATTCATATCCATTTGTTTATACTTATACCAGTTACCTTACAATCGCTTGACAAAATAAAATAAATAAATAAAAAAGATCACCATTGGTCAGCTGCAGAAGGCCACCTTACTGGGATCTGCTCGCATAATCCGCCAATATATCATGCAGTCCTAAACACTTGGGAAGTGTTCGACTAATGATTTGTGATACGAAACCCAGCATGGTTATCTCGTTTGCTGTGTATACTGTCACTTTTGTGTATAATAATAATATATGTCCTTAGGTGGATGGATGGGTCCCTCATTGAAGCGATCACCCCCAATTTGATTGGAGACTGGCCTAACACCTACACCTTCTCCAAAGCTCTGACTGAATATCTGATCCAGCAGGAGAAAGGAGACTTAAATGTTGCCATCGTTCGACCTTCCATCGTGGGAGCTAGTTGGCAGGAGCCCTTCCCGGTAAGTAGGTTTGCTCTGCCAGTGCTTGGTTCTCATCCAACCTCTACAGGGGTGGGCTTCAAAAATTTTAGTAAGGAATTCTCTGCCCGGTTGCTCTGTGGGTGTGGCCATGGTGGGCGTGGCCTATTCAGCCTCCTGCACCATAGGGGGGGGGGGGGGGCGTTTTTGCCCTCCACGAGTTCCGGAGGATTTCCTTGAGCCCCCGGGAGGGCAAAAACAGCCTCCCCGGGCTTCGGGAGCTCTCTGAAAGCTGGAAATGGGCCCATTTCCAGCCTTCCCAAAGTTTCAGGAGGCCCATTTTTCACCCTCCCTGAGCCTGTGCACACGCCCTGCACTTACCTGCACCCAAAACAGGCCCCATGGGGACTCCTGGGAGGGGCAGGGTGGGGTGGTCAGGGCCAGTCACAGGTGGTATTTGCCGGTTCTCCGAACTACTCAAAATTTCTGCTGCCGGTTCTTCCGAACTGGTCAGAACCTCCTAAATACCACCTCTGGTCAAACCCTTCATTTTAGTTACAATAATAGAATATCACTTTATAGAAACCCACCTTTGGGGCTACATATTCAGCATGTCTCAAACTATAGTTTCCACATTCAAGTGTGTTATGTGGATTTCTAAGAATGATCTCCAATATTTGGTGAGGAGCCTCAAAGATTCACTTCAACAGAAAATAAATGTGACATAATAATAAACACTGTCATACTACCAAACATTTTCAAAAGACAAAGTACTTGACTTTGACCACAATTAAGCCCAAAATAAGTGAGGAGTTGTGAATTTTGCCCCATTTTATGGCCTTTCTTGACAGAGTTGTTAAGTGAATCACTGCAGTCGTTAACTAAATTAGTAGACCAGCAAAATACTGTGGACATAATATATTTAGATTTCAGCAAGGCATTCAATAAAGTAGACCACAACCTACTTCTTAGTAAGCTAGAAAAAAGTGGAATAGATAGCACCACCACTAGATGGATTCGCAACTGGCTGGCAAACCGTACTCAATGAGTAATCCTGAATGGGTCTAAGTCTACATGGAGGGAAGTAAGCAGTGGGGTGCCACAAGGTTCCATCTTAGGCCCGTCTTCAATATCTTCATTAACGACTTAGATGAGGGAATAGAAGGAGAACTTACCAAATTTGCAGATGATACTAAGCTGGCAGGAACAGCTAACACCCAAGAAGATAGGCTCAAGATCCAGATGGATCTTGACAGACTACAACACTGGGCCGTATCTAATAAAATGGAATTCAATATAGAGAAAAGTAAAGTCCTACACTTAGGCAAGAAAAACCAAAAGTACACATATAGACTGGGTGAAACCAGGCTCAATAGCAGTAACTGTGAGAGGGATCTCGGAGTCTTAGTGGACAACCAGCTAAATATGAGCCAGCAGTGTGCAGCAGCAGCCAAAAAAGCTAATGCAATCCTAAGTTGTATTAACAGAGGGATACAATCAAAATCAAGGGAAGTACTAATACCACTCTATAAAGCCTTAGTAAGACCACGCCTAGAGTACCGCATCCAGTTTTGGTCACCATGCTATAAAAAAGATGTTGAGACTCTAGAAAAAGTACAGAGAAGAGCAACCAGGATGATTAGGGGACTGGAGGCTAAAACATACAACGAACGGTTGCAGGAACTGGGCTTGGCTAGTCTAGTAAAGAGAAGGACCAGGGGAGACATGATAGCAGTCTTCCAAAATTTGAGGAGCTGCCCCAGAAAGGAAGGGGTCAAGCTATTTTTTAAAGCACCTGTAGGCCAGACAAGGAATAATGCATGGAAACTGAACAAGGAGAGATTTAACCTGGAAATAAGGAGAAACTTTCTGACAGTGTGAACAATCAACCAATGGAACAGAAATTGCCCTCGGAAGTTGTGGGAGCGCCATCACTTGAGACTTTCAAGAAGAGATTGGACTGCCATTTGTCAGAAATGGTGTAGGGTCTCCCACTTGGGTGGGGGGTTGGACTAGATGACCTACAAGGTCCCTTCCAACTCTGATTATCTATTGTCTGTTAAGTTAGTAACACAGTTGCTAAGTGAATCAGGCTTCCTCATTGACTTTGCCTGTCAGAAGGTCGCAAATGGGGATCACATGACCACAGGACACTGCAACCGTCATAAATATGAATCAATTGCCAAGTGTCTAAATTTTGATAATGTGACCATGGAGTAGTTACCAGTATGAACAACAGTCAGAAGTCATTTTTTCAGTGTTGTTGTAATTTTGAATGATCACTAAACACACTGTTGTAAGTTCAGGACTACCTGTAATTGGAATCCCCCATCCCCCCCCACCCCCACGCCGCCACCCCCTTACCCGCTCTGTACCTCACAGCTGATTTTCGGTGGGTTTGAGGCCTTTTATGGCCTCCCAAAGGCTTAAGGAAGGCTTCTGCAGGCTTGTGCAAGCTTTGCAGGCTGAAAACTAGCCCCGTTTCATCACTTCCTGTTTTTCCAAAAATACTGGAAGTGACAAAATGGGGCTA